ATATGCATGCTTATAAAAATAATGTTTGAAACGATTTTTGGTACATGACCTCAAATATGTTTGCTTATGAAAATAATGTTTGAAATAATTGACATTACAAGACCTAAAAATAGTAAAGTCATCATATATACCAGGATTAAAGTTTTATATAGCCAGACGCTTCTTTCATCTACAAAAACTCACCAGTACGCTCGAATCAAAAATTTTTAAGACGTGGAAGTTAGCAACTACAGGTAACCGTACGGCTTCCAACAATAAGGAACACCCATTCCACACAGCAAGCTATAAAAATCCCGCCATGACAAATGTAATACATTTCAAAAGAGAAAAAATAACCGGCCTGATGGAGTTACATAACAATAAACGAAACACAAATATGATATACAACAACAAACCCACGGAATTACAGTCTTCTGACTTTGGACATACGCATACACAATGAGACAGAGTTAAACAGGTTTGAAGGCCCCACCCTCCCCTTACCTGGAATAGTGGTGTAACAGCAAAATATAAAAACAAACAATATAATTCAGTTAAAAAGGGGTTAACTCATCAGATCGATACAAAGCACAAACCCAACTTACAAAAAACACTAAAGACACAAGATACAAATCTGAGAGATCGGTAATCCAGGGCAGTAACCACTAATATTAAATCATGTTTTTAATAATAAAATATCATTTAGTACACATATAATGGATTTAATACGTCATTACCAATCAGGGAAAAGCATGATCTCATACAATGCGCCAAAGTATAGGTATCGACAGAACGTAGGATCGTAATTGTTCTTAACTGTATTTCAATTATATTTAGTTATGTTTTTATTTATTGATAAACAAAATCCATATTTGTAATCTGGATTCTATAATTAATATTATCGTAAAAATTAGGTTTTGATATACAGTTATGATAAGTTCACTACAGTCAACCTTCCAAATCAAATCTTTGTATCTATGAAAGAATTTAGTAAAGGTTTAAAGTAATTTGTGGTAATGAAATCTTTGACTTAATGATTTACCACTAATACATAGATTACGTTCATCGAAATATAAAACATCACTACAGACACGGCATAGCGAACGAGTTGGGATATATAAACACCTTAGAATGGGGTCAAAGGGACATCATCGTCCCACAAAATAACAATAGGGATCGAATACGTCGTAAAAGTTTAACAAAAATGTTTGTGTACAGTTTCCCGTGTTTAAATAAAATATTTGAATCTAGAAAAGGACTGTTATTGCTGTTTATATAAGATTTGTTTAGATAGGTTCCTTTTGGTAAGTTTCGGCTGTATATTAAGAAAATTCTTGACTATTAAACGATAAAAATATCACCAAGATAAGTGTGAGTGATGTAGAATTTAACAATTAAATGAAATTTAGACTGGTGTTTACTGAGTTTGGCCATAAACTGAAATTCACAACAATACATTAAAAAGTCTGCTATCAAAGTGGTTCCCATAGGACAATTAAAATAACGCAAAACTACATCGAGTATATTTTTTTTACGCCTGACGTGCGTTTTGTCTACATAAGACTCATCAAGCCGCTCGAATCAAAACAAATAGAAGTTCAAATCTATCTAAAACATTCAAAGACACTCCAAAAATAGTACGGTTATTGTATTCCGGTTTCCAGTGACATGGACTGCATTTTATTCTTTTGATATAAAGCAATCTATGTTTACACCTGAATGACCTTCAAAAGCATTAAGCATGAAGAAACCCCTGAATACTTTTAAAACAGAATATGTGCAATGGTGTGCAATACTTTAAAGCATTCATGAATGCGAAATCCATAATACATTTTAAAATTTGTCATAAATACAATATCAGTTTTATCTCTGCATCTTTTTTAGTTTTTTTCGTTGTCAACAACAACTTGTCAACGTTATTAAAAATTAATCGTTAATTATTATTTTGTTATACTTAACTGTATATGAAAATCAAGGCTGATATGCATAAAATTCTTAAGTTAAGATTTGTTCCGAACGGATGGATTTTTCAACATGTCCAACGATAAATTAGTACTACGATTGGATATCTTAATTTAAGTGGTTTTATGGATATCAGCCCCGATGACTATCATCGTAGATTGCAGAATATCAATACTTCCCCCTGTTTTGCACGATAATATTTAGGTTTTACAAATCGTTTCGTTGCAGTTAAGTTTATTGTAATAGGTTGATTGTATTGAAAATAACAAATTAAACAAATATATGCTAAGGCATTGAAAGATGGACAAGAGGACTGTAGTTTGTGTAATATATATAATCTTTAAAACAAGTATTATTTTAAATTCATTTGAATTGAGGCAACAAAATTACGAGATAGAGATAAATACCAAATTTGTATCTTTACCTACGTCTAAGATCGTGGTAAACAGCTTCATCGCTTGTGCAATAAGTTGCCTCTCAAATGGAATCTGCTGTGCAGCTAGTTATCACAAATTTTCAAAAGAATGCTATCTTGTTGACATAGAGTATTGTTATAATGAGACGGAAATAGAAAGTGACTGGAAAATTCTTCGTATAAAACTGTGTAAGTAATTTTTTTGCTTTCTTATTTCTTCTTTAATCGATCAAATATGTATTTCTCAACCTGTTTATTAAAGTCGTTCCACGACCCAATGAAGTGATATTATATTGCCTAAAATTAATATGCTCTAACCATGTTTGTCTCTTATCAGTCGTTTCATATTTTTCTTTTGGGTACATAAAAGAGTCTTTCGAAGATGGTATTTGCTAATTGCATACTCAACTTGTAAAGTATTTATTTATTCTAAATATTATTATAGTTACCAGCTTTAATGTTATAACAAGGAAACATATTAATCAACAAATCTTTAGGCTCTGTGGTGGTCGTTATTTTTAAATTAAGTAGCACGTCGAATTAAAGTTTAATGGTCCTTCCGTACGATATGCTGCTTTCAAATTTTGTTCCACCTTAAAAGTAGATATGGTGGGGTGGGGGAATTAGGGGGGGGGGGGGGGGGGGGAGGGGATTCTAACTTACTACCAACATAATTATTTAATAATACAGAAAAATAGTTTATATCATCATTCCCTTATATGACCAAGTTGAAAACAGTTGAATCTACCATAAAATATTTAGTATTTGTAAAAACAGTTGTACAAATAAGATAAAATACATAATTTTCTTCATTTAGATGAATGGTCTTTTAACTGAACTACATTCTTCTGTCATAATTTGCATATTTCATTAAAGATTTAGACCGATTGTTTCCTGCTATACTACAATGCAAGCATTGAAACATATTTGCAAAGGGAAACAATTGTTGGATATTATATTGCTACACAATTTTGTCAATATAACAAACAATAAAAAACTGTCATACAAGTTGGGGAATTAGCTGACTATAAAACCAGATTTAACCCAGCATGTCTTCGGAAAATGTCTGTACCAAGACAGGAACATGACAGCTGTTTTCCAGTCGTTTCGTTGGTTGATATAGACAACCGTTTGGTTTTGTCAGTTTTATGGACTTCCCCCTTTTTGGATTTACCTTCGAGTCGGTATTTTTGTTAATACATTTTTCTATATATTTGAGAGTTTTGAACAACCTGAACAACCTTGAATTCCTATACAAGGGTCGCAAGCTCTCAATTAATTTTTTTAAATGACTCCAAATTTTATTAATGAGCAATGCTGTTTGAGAAAAGACCAGTTATGTTATCATCATAGTTTTGGGATGAAATATAACATGGTAACTAAACAATTTGTCAATGTGTTTGGTTTTCCGTCTAGTCATATAAGATATATATTATATAGGATGCATTCAAATGGAAGAAAATTGGTAAAACTACAATTATAAACTCGCTAGAGACATGTTTCCGTGGTCTAAGTATCTTTACAAATATAATAGTTTGATGTGTAGATTTACTGATTATGTCATATTCCCGATTTGATTGTGACATAATGATAGAGAGTAGATTCGCATGGTGTGTAATACATTTATAGTACAGGACGCTTACCATGTCGACGGACTAGGTGTTGCTCCTTTAGAGTTTTATGCGATTACTTTTGTTTTTGTTTTGTACCTTGATTTGTATCTCCTTAATGAATTTAATCTTGAAAGATTTCAAAATCGTTAAAGTACTGTTACCCTTTATTATTTAGACATGTTTTACCAACATTGCACTGTAACTCAAAGTTAACGGAATTTTGATAAACAAGCAAATGTTTAATATGTATTCACGTCTAAAGATTTGTGTAACGATACTGATTAAAGTTATTATACGAATGAGATGAAATCATATTGTGAGATATGCAAATTTCGGCACAACAAATGACCTTTAACACTGTCAATCTGTTTTTTTTTCTAATATGATAATGTTGTTAATTCAGTCTTATTTATCGATAGCAAACTTTTGTCTTTCCCTCATCGAGATTAGAAACCCATGACTTTGTGACATATAATTGCAATTCCGTGAATGTTGTGTACAGCGCCCAGACCACTCGACCACCTAGGGCATATGAAAGTTTTGTTTGTAGTCAAATGAAACCATTCCTCCGTGGCTTTATCTAGGACTGTAACATAGTACATGATTATATTTTTGTTCGAATGGAAAACCTTGCAGGATTTTTGTCAGTCGTAAAGAATGAGAATGGCTATTATTTTTGTTTATTTTTTACGTCAATAGATATGAGACAACTATACAACACACATTTTTTTTCATAGATGAACAGAAACATTAAACACTTGTCTGAAATTTACCCAACAATGTTGGATCGGAAAATTTTCGGTTGCAATTTTTATCTGTCCATCAGTGGGGATTCAACCTCTATAAATCTCACATTTCGTTGTAAAGTTAATATGAATAATTTATAATAACAAATAATATTACAACAACAAAAAGGTACATTTTGATACGTATCTCAAATATATTTTAAATCATTTCAGGTTTTCAGGTTTCTGTTCCATTTTCAAACAATTGACAGAAAATGTTAACGTTTATAATAATGTTTATTTCAGTACAGAAAGAATACTTTGAACTGGATAAAACATGGGATGAATCTAAGGTAAATTAACTTTTTTTTAAATAGCATATTAACAAATAATATCAATTAATCTTTCTGTATTAAACCTTCAAGTTTGATGAAATATATTTCCATTATTACCTTCTTGCTGGTGGACTTGTCCTCGTTACATGAGTTATCTTTCAGTGTACTCTAGAAATTGAAGAGGGCCAGGTACAAATAACGCACGAAAGTATTTGTTTGATTGGCACTTTTCTATCAAATTTACCTCTGTGGATTATTTGGGTACAAGACTACTTCTTTAATGCATCCTTTGTTTGACAGAGTGTTTTTAAATATAGCATTATTGTATTGTATTGTATTGTTTTGTATTGTATTGTATTGTTTTGTATTGTATTGTATTGTTTTGTATTGTATTGTATTGTTTGGTTTTTAACTGTTTTGATTCGAGCGTCACTGATGAGACCTTTGTAGACGAAACTTGCGTCTAGAGAACATAATTATTAGCTTGGTATCTTTGAGGAGTTATTTTTTGTTAGTCCACAAGTCGAGATTAAAAAGGGAAGTCAGGATACACAAGCTGTATTGAAACATGTACATATTGGAATTAAAGGGAAGTCTGTATACTCAAGCTGTATTGAAACATGTACATATTGGAAACAAATGTTACTTCATCTCATTTAGGTGCAATGGGATATTTGTTTGTTTAGAATTGTCAAGTTTTCAGTTCAGATAAGAAAATTGTCGTCGATTGTGTATAATAAGAAGCAGGAAGAACTTGTGATTTTCGGTACCTCTTCTTCATTTTATTATAATTCTATTTGATAAATTCTAAATATAACTTTAATTTAATATTTCCGAAAAAAGCGGGTCCATTATTATCAACAAATCTTTAAACGGGGGTTGGTTGGTCATTGAAATATTTACATTTAATTCTGTGGAGTGTCACTCAAATGTCTTTATGGAACTGAGAAGATTATTTTCAAAAATAGATTTGACGCGATTAATACCGTGAAAGAACAGCCCTGCTCTGTTTCTCAAATAGAATGTTATTTTTTGTATTGCATTCTTGTAGAAACTACCTGACAGGCTTGTCACCTTAGTCACTTTAAATTTGCTAATATCAACATGCTCTCTTCATCAGAGCAATAATGAAAAAAAAACATTGGACATTACAAAAGACCACACCAACCAAAAACTAAATTCACATCAAAAGCATAATGCCCGCTGGTATTATTTCCGTTAAATGTTTTAACATTTTTTAAGAATTGTTCCATCAGTCTTATATTGACAACATACAATGTTTTAACGTACGATAGCTAAATAACTGTGTTTTCGCAGATGGCAGTATTTTGTGGATCTGTATGAGTTGTTATGATTGGCTGTCTTATTTGCATTAAACATGGTTATTTCAAAAATGTCTTTAGCAATAAAGAAAGGATCTTATTTGGTTTTATGTGATTAATAGTTAAATTACATATAAATATTTTGGTTTTCACTCAGTTTCATTGTTTTACTGGAATTTCTGGAAAAAAGGTGTTGTCTATTGTAATCACATTTTAAAAATTTCAAAGTGGGCTTGATAAGTGACTATAAATCTCTCTTCTAAAAGTTTTCCTGATATGCATACATTATTTCACTAGAGAAAAGACGGAATCTACAATATGGCTGACATCTTGAATAAAATGAAAGTGTCGGTTCTTGACCCTTGATCTTGATTTCACCGAAATTGCAACATGCGATTTTTTACGACCAAAAAACAGATAGAACAGATGATCAGCTTTCGGATGCTATATAATATAGCCATGTGTTAGGTAGATGCATTCATCACAAAAAGCCATTCTTGATAATTTAACAGAGACAAATACATGTAATGCAAACAACTTTTACTGAAAAAGATGCAAAACTTTGGCTCCAAAAACTGGAAACAAATCTTGTAGCTGCTGTTACAGAAACACATAAGCTTTGTCTTGAAAAAGATATTGACAACCTAAAGACAGAATTGAACAATGAAAGACAAAAGCATAGTTAACTTTATGATAAGGTAACTTAGCTTAGTGCAGAAAAATCTGAGCTTTTAGAAAGATGTAAAAATGATACAGAATTAATACCTCTTCGAAAACAATGAGATGATCTCAAGATAACAAACACATCAATTCAAGGTGTAATACATACATTAAATCAACAAAATAGCAAGATGATTACTGCAATGAGTGATTTAGACCAATCAGTTTTAGTTCTAAATGAATCCTTGAAAATTCGGAGGCAACTTTCACAAGACATACAAAGTCAAACGATTGATATACTAGACACCACAAAACCAAACGATACACAAGCTCCTAATTTTACTTATCACGCAGTCTCAACATCAAATAAATTCACACCATTTAACACTCTTGAAGAGGAATCATTTGAATCAAATGAAAATATGCAACATAGTTTTTACCATGGTAATGCACGAAAAGGTAAATTAGCGTTAATAGGAAATTCACACTTCAAGCCGATAAGAGAAAAAGACTTTATTTATGACTATGACACAGAAAAGTACATAGTGTTCTCATTTCAAGAGGCAACACATATTTCATAGGATATACAAGGCCCTGTTTACTGTCTGGTTGTACATCTTTTCACTAATGATATCAGGGAACACTCATCAACAAAGTGTATAGATATTGTAGAAAAATTCATCATATTTGTTCATGATAACTGGCATGAAATTCTCATCATCATCTCAGATGCGATATCTCGAGGTGACTACATTTTGATGAACAGAGATATCCTCTGACAATGTTCACCTTTCGACACAAGGTACAAAAGTGCTTTTTGCAAACATCAAATCATCAGTGCGTGAAGCTTTGTGCATTCCAAATCCTTTCAAAAAGAAATATGAAAGTCATATAAAGGGATAGAACTCGTCAGCACAATACAATGTACTCAGATTGAATCAGAGAGTACTCAGATCCAACTAGATAGTACTCAGAGTCAAACAGAGAGTACTCAGAGTCAAACAGAGAGTACCCATATCCAAACAGAGAGTACTCAGATTCAAACAGACAGTATTCTCGAGATATAATTCACAAAATAATAATGAGAACGAGTTTTACGGTAGAAATGGTGGTTACAGAAATCAGTATAATAATTATTGTTCAACTCGCCAATTTAACCTAAAAGGAAGACGTGGCTGAGGATATAAAGAAAATACATGAAGGCGGTGAAGCGAATAAAGTGTAATAGGACTTCATATTTTTTGTGCATTTATAAAGAATTTCATTTAGTTAATGTTCAAAATTTGTTTTTATTATGTATAGGCTAGTGACCTTATCTTTTTATTTTTATTTTTGTCAAGCAACATGCTTTAAATTTAATGACATATATATATATTGACCAATGTAGTGGCATTTCAACAAATCAGAACATTATCATTTTAGTCAAGACTTTGTGCTTGCAAAGAAAAAAAGAAAAAGAAAGAAAAATAATCACTAAATTTATTCAATATGATGAACATCAATCAATTAGATTAAAAAGAAAGGAAAACAAACGAGGAGGAAAGCTTAAAGTAAATGTTTCATTGTTAACTTGTACTCTATTTGTAATTTCACCAATTTCATAAGTACTTTAATAAGTACATTTTATCATTACTTCCTTTACACGTATATGTTCAAAGTGACATATTTTTCAGGTATGCAATGGTTCATGTATAAGTACATTTATCATGTATATGTGATAAATTCATTGCTACATTTTGTAGTTTAATCTATTCATTACATTTTTACTGTTTATTAAATACCTCTCAACTAAATGTAAACACATATATGATTTCTATTATAAATAGTTGCAAAATGAAAACAAACAAGAAACAAAAACAAAAAAATTAATCTTTATTTTATATACATGTACATGCTCATCACTGATATATTCAGATAAAATACTTATGTAGAAATAAGAATACTTATACATGTACACATTATGAGATTGCTTCACTTTATGTACATTTGTACATGAGGTACAGCTAGAGTCTTTACTGATGGTTATTATTGAGGTTAAAGAAAAGTTTGTGTTGTTAACATTATTTTATTTTATTTTAATTACATGTTCATATTGAACTGAATTCGGTGGTGATTTCCATTCTAGATCATTAAAGGATAAACAAAAGAATTATAGAAAAGAAAGAAAGAAAGGAAGAAAATACAAAGTTTTCTTAAGAAATCAAACAGTCATTTATTCAAATGCAGATATTACAAAAATTTTAACTTATTTCAATGTTTACACTATATTTCATTGACTTTAACTTTCTACTTCTCGGAAATTTAGGCATAACTTTAATCAGGTAATCTATAATGTAGCAAACAAAAGTCTAAGAAAAAAAAAACATCATAGTTTGAAAAAATCTACTAAGAAAAAGAAAAAAACCTAATTGGGAAAATCAATTCTATCAGTCCTTAAAAAGAAGCTTATTGATAAAGAAAATTTATTCAAAAAATTCAATAAGGATCCATATATAAGATCATCTTATTTAAGTGCTTTAAAGCATTAAAAAAAAATCTAGGAAATCCACGATACGACTCTATAGATAAAATCTAGTAAATCCGCTTGATGCTTTAAAAGATTAAGAGGACAGTCACAAGACAATATATTAGCAGAAGAGTGGTTGAACTATTTCAGGGAATTAAATACTGCAAAAAAAACATAAATAACCAGGATCTAGATAAATTACTAGCCGAAGCAGAGAAATGTATATAATTTAATGAGCTCGATTTTAAAATTTCTGAAAAAGAGGTTCTTGATGCACTTAAATCTTGAAAAAAAAGAAAGCCTGCGGAATTGACCAAATATCAAATGAGATGTTAAAATATGGTTTTCTACATTTCTCACAACCCTCTTTGAAAATATTAAATAATATCCTTACTTGTGGAATTTTCCCTATGATTTAGTTTTAAAGTTTTTTTTAACTCCTATACATAAGCAGGTGACACCAAAGAACATAGTAATTACAGGGGAATTGATATAAGTAGTAATATTAGTAAGCTGTTTACTAGAATATT